TTCTCAATGTGATAGAGTTAAGAGTTAATCACTTTGTTACCGAAAACATTACAATTTAACTTCTCACTGGTGTTGGATTAATTTCTAAATGGATGAATTTACATTGTAAGAAATTAAATCGAAAACATTAACTTGTCAATAACAGATACAATCTTTTCATTGTTTCTTTTAGTGTAACAATCAATTAACAGGAGATTATAATTAAATTATGATGTTAATTGTAGATTAAATATCCTGATGATTAATTAATTTAAATCTTTTGGTACGAAATTATTACACAAAAGTTTATATAAATGGTTCAGAAGATATTTCTCCAATTGTGTCACTAAACAGTTAATCGATTTTCTTTTCTTTTTTTTTCTTTTTAACAATCGCTTAATCCTCTCTCTTAATCCACTGATTATGATTGGTATTCGTACTTTGGGTGGCTATCGGTGTCCAAATTGTCAATCATATTCTCCCGAATTTACAATTAGACCAAATCATCCAACTTTTCGCTTGTATTTTAAACAGAATCATCGATATCGTTCAATCATTTCCACTTCTTTCATGTTGACCATTGGCTATTACACTGTTTTCCTCGGCTTTATTCAATATCAACAATCTAATCCGATTCTATTGCCAAAATGGAACAAGTTACTTGTAACATTTATCATTATGTATTTTATTGTTTTTCTAATTTCAACAGTAATCGGTTTGACATATCTCCGAGTGGATTACAAAAAATGGCAACAGGATCATCCAAATATGTTAATCTGTCCAGCTTGTTTGAGGTCATTTCAGCTTAATCCTAATATAACTCAACAGGCAAATGTTATAGAAAGTTCAATATAATTTTTTCAATCGATATAATTTAGATTTATGATTGTTTACAATTAGCTAATTGAAGATAATATTGTAGCTCCTCCGATCATTTATATATGTATAAATATCATCTCTTAATCTTAATTCCATAGGATTAAATGTGAATCACAGTGATGAATCTTTGATTGTAATGAACGAAACGTCTTCAACGTTTTTCTTTAAATTATTTCCAATGATGACGAAGAGATTTGTTGTTGTTGTTATGATGCATTTTGATGATGGTTGTTTATGTTTATATATAATCAATTGTGAAAGATGGTGATGATGACGGCGATGATGATAGTAAAGATGTATAGCTATGTTAATGTCTCTTGATAGCGTAATTAAAGATGACAAATTCGGATACAATACAACACGTATTTACGATGGACATAATCAAAAGAGAATCGAGTCTGAAATAGAGAGATGGATGAAGAAAAAGATAGAGAGAGAGAGAGAGCAAGGGAGTGTCAGTCATCAGTATATTGAATGTTGGTCCGCAGTGATTTAGATGTTAGTTATTGACACTGGATATCATTAATCGGTGATTTAAGAGGTTAATCGTTTCGGGAAGACGGTTGAAAATTATTCCATGATGAGCAGAGTTAATAAGTGGGAGAGTTAATCATGAAAATTTCCCCGGTTAGTGAAAATTTGACGTCAAACTTATTTTGATGCGGTTTATTTGACCGAAATTAGTTTGAAGAAAATCAGTCATCAACTATCATCATCAGTTTCCATCTTTTCACAATTACCATTTTTCTTATTCTCGCCTGCTTCTCGCTGTTGTTTAATCAATCTTTTAATTGTTCGTCGCTTAGAAGAGACCAGTGAAAGAGAAAACCAATCTTCTAGATTGATAGCAGGATCTTTGCAAATTCTTTCAAGTAAATAATCAGGATTCTGGAAATGTTTAAGGATAAAAAGATAAATTAATTTGTGTTGGCGAGGAGAAAAAGTTTACTTGACCTTCAAATTAACTTACTCTTAAGAAATTTTCAATATATTGTAGCACATAGAGACCACAGTCGAAGGAGTTAATTTGCTTAGGCACCTTGAGATAAATATCAGGCATTACACTTTTACTAAAATTTTTCTTTGTCGTTTTCTTTGATTCCCATTCTTTGGTTAGAAAGTGTCTAATTGGTGCAGCTAATCCACATTTACTATGAGCACTTTGAAGTGAATCCATGAAAAGTATACAAGGTCTAGAGAGAGAGAGAGAGAGAGAGAGGCGCAATTTCAAAAGGATTAGAAATGTATCTCAAATTGAACTGGTTAAATTAATCTAATACCTTTTTGGATTTTTTTCAATTTCTATCGGTAAAATCTCGTCCATGAATGGAACCTTCCTTGGATAACATATGATTGCCAAAAACCAATGACAGGATTTGTTAATTGGGATAATTATAAAGTCTTTTTCGAATATATTAATATTTTTTGTCCAATTCTTGACTCTATTGTAATATTTATCAGAAAGCCTGAATAGATAGGAGAGAATAAATAAACAATTAAGTATCAGATTATCAATGCCGATTAGATGACCAAAAGGCCATAATTACGGAAAACCAATAATTTTTATTTGATTGGCTGTTGGTCATTGGCAAATAAGGAAATCACCACTTGACCAACATTAAATCAACAGGTACACAAATTCAGGTGACACCTACGATTGATTGTCCTGAGTTTGAGTCTCCGATACTCGAGTTCTGTGGGTGAGCTTGTAATAGAAAAATGTACTAAATATGTAGCTTCTTTCGGCAATATCTGGCGCTGTCAAGTCTTTTTCGATGTATCTATGAAAAGAAGAGAAAAAGAGATCAACATGAGTAAGACAGAGACGAATTAAGGTTATTATGTTTCCATAGATAAAAAAATAACCTACTTAAGATAGAAACCTAAGATTGTATCATTTAAATATTGCCCTTGTTCCAAACAAGCAAGATCCGATTGGTGGATTGAGATACGATCAATTTCATCGGGTGGGTAACTGAAGAGATGGTCATCACTGGGTCAAAATAAAAGAATTATAAGAATGACAGTTAAAAATAAGCCATAGAGCTTGTTACAAATTAAACGCAGCTTAAAGTCATTTACTTATTAGATATTGAGCCATTCAAACTACGCTGGTTTTCAGTGTCATCTTCATCATCACTATCGATTTCAATATCAATTATGGAAGGTGATTCATCTGATTTGGGCCTTAAAACGTTCGTTTTATTCTTAACCAGGATAGGAGACTGTTTAGAAGGTGGAGAAGATGATCTAAGGGCAGATGAGAACATTGATGATGTTGTTGTATTCGTTGATTGTGGTAAACTTGAATATGTTTTTTTCGATTTACACAGGATTGATTGTGTTGTCTTTTCGTCGTTCTCCTTGCTGGCAGAAATTTCCAAATCTGGTGTTGGTTGTTGAGAATAATTGATCAAGAAATCAAGGTATTTAAGAACGCTTCGCGATAGGGCTCTCTCAAGTTTCCAATCCACTTGGCTAAAGACGGAAAAATATCCTTCCAATATTTTGTAAATTTCTTCACCTTGTCCGTTAAATTGAACAAGAACACGAATCGATCCTAATAGTTTAATTGAAGAGAAGAAGAAAAAAGTCACAGAGTAGAAAATTAATAAAAAAAATAAGATGAAATAAGAGTGTAAGACAAAAGAAAACAGCGACAGAGGATCAAAAAAGAAAAGCTCAAATCCTTCAAGTTGTCTAATATTCCATGAAGAGTATTAGATTAGGGGGAAGAAAAAAATAAGCATGCGGCTACTAAATGTTAGTTAAAAATACGAGACAGTAAATATAAGAGAGGCAAACGCATGATAAATGGTGAGTGAGATTAGAAAATAAAGAAAATGAAAGAGATGTCAAGAGATGGCAGTTAATCACTAACCTAAATCATAATTTGAACGGTGAGTTTTCACAATCGTACGAAATATTTATAAGAGATTTTGACAGTTAATCGCGATAAACGATGGAAGGACAATCATTAGAGAACAGCCAAAGTAAGACAAGTGCGAGAGGGAGAAGAAAACAAATAATTACCTTGAGTGTTTGTATCATGTTGATTAGGTTTTAGTTTCAATGCGCTGCTTATTTTAGTTCCAGAATCAGGATTAGTTTCTGTGATCAGGGTTGACAAATTCTCACCAGTTTTACTGTCAAAATAGGCCTTTTTTATATCAATTGGTGGAATGGTGATGTTGAAACGAGATCTTTCTTGGACTTGACAAACTTGGGAAAATTTAATGCCAGCTGAAATTAAACGAATTTCATCACAGCAAAATTTATGAACACCAAAGTAGACAATATTATTGTAAACTGATAAAGTTTGATTAACCTCCATGTGAGACATTAAATTGTCGTACAGAAGATTAAGATGTTTATAGGAAAAGAGAGAGAATTTGGAACAATTAAAAGTAGAAAACAGGAAGAAGAAAAAAGAAGTTGAGAGAGAAAACCGAAAAAAAAGACACAAAAAAAGAGAGAAAGAGGTAAAGAAAGAAAAAAGAACCAATTAGTAGACAGGTAATTTTTTCTTCTTTAGAATTTTCTTAGAAGTTCATTTAGACTTGCGATTTAAATTATTTGTTCTGTAAATAAATTAAATCCTCATTGATTGGATGAAGATGAAAACAAAACAACAAAAAAAGTAGACAAAATGATGCAAACAAAGAGGCGAAAATGCTGTGAAAAATATGAAAGAGAAAGAGAAAGAGAGAGAGAGAGAAAGAAAGAAAGAAACACAAATGGAAAAGAGAAAAAGAAAACGATTCTTTTTCAGAGCGAAAGATAAATTAGTCGATGAAAATTGTCTCATCCATTCACAACCAAACCATTGATTGAACGTAATCAAGTTTCAGGAGAAATTCAGAGAGTTGAGATAATTGGTAAGAGAAAAAAATTATTCACAAGAAAACAACATAAACACAGAAGAATTAAAATGAAAATATTTCTCTTTTTTTCCTTTCATCAAAAAGATTCGCTTTCTTTTTCTCTTTCTTTTCTCTTTCTTTCCCGACCGGAGATTTACTGTTACCATGGAAACAGAACATATGTTTACCTTTCGATGTGCTTCCATCTGGTGTTTCTATGGAACAGTAACTCAAATGGAGCAAAATTTTTTTCTCTTTGGATTTATTTTCTCTCTCAATGTTATTCTCTCTTTCTCTCTCTCTTGGTTCGTGATCTATTCGTTGATTTAATTTCAATTATTGTGATTTACATTGATTTTCATTTGTTGTTACTCACCAATTAATTAACCGATCCCATCAAACGACTATTGTTACATTGTTAACCTTGGATACTTTTTTCTCTCTCACTCTCTCTTTTTTATTCTTTGTCTCTGTCTCTCTTTCTCTCTCTCTTCTCATTTTAATGGTTTACTTTTATTGATTTTGTACCTCGATTAATTTTTTTGTTGTTTAGCTTTTGATTAACATTTCCTTTTTTTTATTAACTGTCTATTAATCCTTTGGATTGTTGTTACTTTTGATTGTGTCAACAACCAGTTGATTATTTTCTATTGCTTAGTTTACCTCTGAATCGAATTTTTGTTTTATTCTAAAAAGAAAACCGAAAAATTCTATTCTTTTCTCTGTCTAATATGGATACTATTGATTCTGCAATCGCTAGTATTGAACCGGTAAATGTTTCCAATATTTCACTTGAAGATCCTGTGGGTTTGAAAAACGATGAGAAACAACCATCACCATCTAAGGTAAGATTTAATTAGTTAATGTGAATATGTTAAGTGTTATTATCTATTAATTTTTGTTTTCTTTTTTCTTTTTCTTCTTGATTGTGTTTTTTTCCAGGAAAATTATCCGGAAGATCGTCAATCACCTCAATCACTTTCAATTGTTTCCAATGTATCTACAAGCTCTTCTTCAGAGGTAGCCCAAGAACCATTTAGACCAAAATATAAAGTTAAAGTGTCAACCAATAGTATAACAAAAGATGGTGAAAGTGTCATTTATAAACTGACCACAACATCTTTAATGGATGAATCTTCTGGTAAAGAGTGGAAAGTTGAAAGGATATATGATGATCTTCAACAATTGAATCAAAGTTTAACTGCATCAGTTGCTCCTGGTTATGGTTTAATTATGCCACCATTACCCGAAGAATCAATGACCAATCCCTTACATGCTAAAGAAAAGAGTAGAGAAAAACTTGGTCCCAATACAAGAACTCTAATCGGTGATGAATGGTACAAAGATTGCTGGCAAATCCAAGAATATTTAAGATTACTTCTTAATCATCCAATTTTCGGCCATGATAAGATTTGGGAACAATTTCTTTGCTCCCTTAATCCACCCCCAAGAGTTAAATTACCCAAATCTTCAAATATATTGGGTAAATTATCTGAAAACATTGATTCCCGAGGAAGGTCAACACATAAAGATTGTGAAGAATATTTTCAAAAAGAAAGAGACTGGGCCAACCAATATTCCCATGCGATTAAATCAACTTCCAAAGCTTTTAATTCGATTATCAATGCAAGATTAAGTAAGTTTATCCATTATTCATTACCTCATATTTATTGTTTTTTCTCTCATCTCACCTAATTACATATTTAAATCAATTCTTTTTCCCCTCTTCCCCTTAACACCCTGATTAGTGGAGACAAAAATTAATACACTCAACAGAAAACGCCCCAGATTAATAAACGCCCTTCATTGTTTTCTCTCACTAACTCACTCACTTTTTCTCTCTATCGAAAAGATTTACCATGTAAAGAATATCATATTAGAATTGTAATTAGAAGTAGGTAACTTGATCAACTTTTGATTGATCAAATTGACAGTTTCTGGTTTATTTGGCAACTCAGGAAAATGATGATTGTGATTTGTTGATTATCGATTCGGATTTTTTTTTTAATACCCAATCATCATCATAGTAGATGAAATAATTATTCATCTAAAAGCATTATTTTTATTGATGATTTTGATTGAGTAAAGAATTAGTAATATTTTGATTGGAGAAACTTTATTTTTTTCTAAACTGAATCCATAATTATGAACAATTTATAATTATATTTGAATCAGAAACTTATAATTGATACAATTTGTTATCATCTTATTGTATCTCACCTTGAGACGAATACATTTGGATAGCCAAAGGTATAAATTCAGTGTTTATTTAAAGAAGAAAAAAAGAAAATGTCAAAATGATAATGATTGTATTTGATTATCATTCTGATAATGATGATGAAGGTGGACATTAAAATATATATTGAATTAAAATAAGTAAAATATAATAATAATAATAATGAGTTTGTTAGTTAATCAGAATCTAATTATACTAATGATGATGATGATTAGCTTATCCATTTCTTGAGAAAAGTTAACATCCAATCGATAATGTGACAGAGAATGATAAACAAGTGAGCACCGATAATTAAGAAAAATTATTAGTAGAATCAATAAATTACCTGAGGGCAATATCCTGTTGGACGGTGAGAGAGTAAAGTTGATTATACAAAATTAGATTAGAATTTATCATCATCTTTGTTATAATTGTGATTCTTTAATTAATACAATATAAATATAATCAACTCATGATTTCTTATTATTGTTATTTGATTATTACCTTGATTTAAATTACAAATCACTTTTCTAATTGTAATCGGATAACTTGTCATTCTGTTGATCATAACGATAATTATTGATGAACATGATGATACCACCCTACAGTTCACCTCATACCCTCCTAAATACCCTCTTCTCATTATATGAGATTTAACAATCTAATTAATTGCAATTAGTTAATTGCTTTGATGTGCAGTGTTTACTGTGAGAATCAAGTTCAATTTTTACCTTTCATTTCACTAATTTTTGTTTCACTCTCTCGATAGTTTTGTTTTTTTATCAACATAATCACGTTGAAAATTATTATATGTAACAAATTAGTTGAGAAATTTATTAGTTTTAGTTGGTAATTGTTGAAAAATTGAAGATTTAATTAACTTCCAAAAGTTAATTTACTCTACAATTGGAAAATTTTAGGGCAGAAAATAAAAATAAAAGGATATTAATCTAGTTTGATGAATTATCATCAATAATCAAAAATAATTTATAAATGGTTAACTTAACACAACAGCAATCAAACTTTACTGTTGTTAAGTTATCGGTTCATTGAGAATGTCCATTTTCAATTGGTCATCTAAAAAAAATGATAACAATCAGCTTGATTATTTACACAATTTGATGAGTCTGTTGACCAGTAGTTTCAAACATAAGATTCAGGCTCTTTCTTTTCACTCTACTATTTCATTCATGATAACATATTATAGTTTTTAAATAGTAGATGATGCCCCAAATAATTGTATCACTTAACTGCAAGATTATCATGTTGATATCTTCTTGAAAGTGTCAAGATTAACCGTTGACACTTCAAGAAATCACCAGAAAAGTTACTGGTTAACTTAATCATAAAATTAATTAGTGAATAAAGTGAATTAACTTAACAATTAAAATGTCTCTTGGATTAAGAAGACACAAAAGATGACCATCTATGCATAAACATTTATAATAATTGCAATTTTGTTATCCAACATTAAAATCAGAAAAAGTCTTCATATAATGTGATAGATAAACTCATCCCTAATAGTTACTTAATTACATCAATTTTAATTTTTGCAGGTTGGTGGATTAAGTTAATTTGATTGTATCCAAAGGGTAGTGTTCCTTGTCCGTGTTAATCTTGATAATCCACAAATGAGTTTGCCACAAAATTGTTTCACCAATCTTAGTTTCCTTTTCCTAAATTAACTGTCATTATTATTACCTAGATTAACAGTATTGCCTTTTTTTGTATTATTGTATTTACTTGTCGGTTTCTGTTGTTTACTGATAATAATAACAAAAACATAATAATGATGTTGTTAATTGTTCGTTGTTATTGTTACTATTTAACACTCACTCTGATTATTTTGATTACTGTGTATACAATATAATCAAGATTTTGTGTGTGTGCGTATTTATATTTTTACCCTGTTTTGACTAATCATTATCAGAGTAGATTATAAAATGAATGGGTCAGTTGAGTTACTATCATTCTCATCATTTGACCAACACACCCGTTGGTGTATTTGACCATTGAATTGATGATTTATTTTGAAATTAAAATCAAATTAACTCAGATAATTAAAATATTACTTCATGGTTAATTTGTAATTTTATTAAATCAAATGTAATTTTATCCTTAATCAATTGACTTAGAATAATGGTAATGATGGTTAATGGTGATGATTATGATTATGATATCACCGATAATTAGTATGAATAATCATGAAGGTGGTTACTCTAAAGATCATTGCCTCTCATCACTCATTCTGTTAATTGTATTTGAATCATTATTAATCAATTAATCTTATCATGTTAATCGCTATACCATTATAACCAGTAGTTATATCAGTTGTCTTTAATTATTTCAAGGTAACACCAACAATTTAATTTGCATCTATTTTATTTTAATTTAATTTCATTATTCTTAATTTCTCAGCTATTATATAGTCTACTTTAGATGAATCTAATTAAATTGCTGCACGATAGACTGATTAGCAAATTATAATGGTGATTACTACAATTGATGATGTATTGGGCATATATGATTAAATTATCAATACACTTGAAAATCAATTGCAAATCTAATTGAGTATCAATTGAGGTTTAAGACAATTAATAATTTACCTTTTTTTAAATGGTATAATTGTTTTGATTACCTGAAATTTTGACCTGACTCTCAATTTAGTGACTCTTTTTTTTCAATATCAACTATTTTTCACTCTAAACAAAACTCAGTCAACTTTATCCTTCTCTTAATCCATTTTAATGCTACTAATAAGCAATTACCACATTAACTGTTAATTGTTACATGTCTATTATTATTACCAACCATTATAATAATTGTTTTACTTGCTCATCTTTTTTTGTTCAATTCCAATATTGATCATTACCGTTATATTTTCGCTCATTCGCTGTTTTTTTTTTCGTTTATTGTCTCTCCATCTTCAGATACCTTCAATTACAATCATCTTATATGATGATGATGACGATGATGATAGTTGTTGATAGTTTACAAAAACAAAGCATCAAAAATTAACAAAAAGTTAATATGTCAAGTTAATTCGTTTACCACTTTTTTAATCTTTTTCTAAAGTTAAATGATCTTTTTACTTGCGAGAATTGTTTTCTTTCATTTTTCACTACCTTCTCATCATGCTCATCATCGTCATCCTTATCATCATCTCAATCAATTTACTTTCTATTAGCTTTCCCCTCTAATCACTAATCACTAATTACCTTTCTTGTCAAGCTAATTCAGTTAAGAAATTAAGCCGAAAACGTTGTTGTTAAATAATAACAATCTTTTCACACTCTGATAGTATTTCAGTTTTACTCTTCGTTTCATCAATCATTGATTTTTCTCAATGTAATAACATGTAAATCTCCTATCAGCTGATGATATTAGGAAAACAATGAAGGTACTAAAAATCCAAACATTTTCTATCATCTATCGAAATCGTTTCTACTTTCAAGACCCAATTTGTCTAACAATCTTACTCGATTCCGAAATACTCGATATGACTTTTGATCACTTCGAGTGTCAATATAATCAGATTGATAAATTTTCACGTTAATTGTTTTGCCAAATAACAATTTGTGACCGTTGATTGATGATATATGACTATCACAATCATTAATTTCCAACTGTTATCACTCTAATTGTAAAACCAATTTCGCTAATCATTTTAATCTTATCAACTCTTACATCTTAATCTTTAAATCACAATTTACCTGTTTCCGTTTTCCTTTTTCATTAAACTTTCTCTTCCCATTATTAATATTATTAAATTAACAACAATCAATCAATCAGAATTACTTAAAGGGGAAAAATTGTAAATTGTGATTAGTGGTTTTTAAACAATCTATATAATCAGATAATTATAATCACACAGAATATGATTAAAGATGAAATATCATCATGATGATTAATGATAATAATAATAAGTGATAAAACGGAAACGATTTACAAATGATGATCTAAAGGAAGTGAAATTGAAATTGAAAAGGATAAATACTGCATATAATTAAACCAATTATGGTGATTAAATTAAATTATCATTTAGCCTACTGTTAACCATATCATTGATTGTTTATGGAATAGATTATTAATTTCAATTTATTTGAAATCTCCTCAATCTTGTCATGTTTATTATCAGCATGATCATGAACAGAATCTGATTCATTAGTATTATCATCATTCAAATAAATATATACCATTGTCCAGTTGATTGTTGTTGCTGTTATTTTATCAATTATTCATATCAATTGTTGATCATCATCATCATCATCCCAATCAACTATTTACTCTAGGTTAATCTAATCATTATACTCTCACTAATTATCATGAATAGTATGTACTTCATGTTATAATAAACGATAAACTTGTCAATTAGTTTGAATTTTATCATCTTATCATATATTTACAAAACAAAAGCATCTTATTTAAATCAAATTAAAGGTGTGGTCCCTACTCTTATTGCTATAATCACGATGTTATCATTATTATTACATTAGCACAATCATTATTGTTATCATAATGATGATGTTTTCATCTGTAATGTATTTATATTCCTCATCATTTCTTAATAATATAATTAACTGTTGTTTTCTGTCAAATTAGTGAATGGAAATGATAAAAAGAATTGAAAAAAAGTGAGAAAATAAACTTAAATTAGTTGAAAAAAAAAGAACAGTCAATTTGATTATGATACGTCAGTTACGATTACCGAAAGTGACCTGTTAGGCCTTAAGATTAATTACTTTTTCGTTGTTCAAGAAAATTAAAACTTTATTGATACTCGATCTTAATCCCAATCTTGATCTTTATTAATTTTCTTTGATTTAAATTATCTTAATTGATCAGGAAATGACTGATATTGATTATTTGTTAATTGTAAATCATTTAACTATGATTATTTTTGACCATTCTAAATAATTAACTATTGATTTGAATTTATTTCTCTCAATCAGAATCTAATTGAACTTTTTTAATTACTGATAATCGATTTATAATTAATATCAAATAATTTCAATTATCTTATCGTTCTGAATTTCACTTTTTCTCATACTTTATTTTCAACTCTTTTTAATCTCAATAAATTATCAATTAAACTTATCAATTATTTGGACTGTTGATAAAAGTAATTATACAATTAAATTGATTGTAATTAAATATTATTAATTACGAGATAGCTCCATTTACAGTTTGACAAAGTTTCGAAAACTTTTTCCAATAATTTCTAATCCAAATGATTAATCATTTACTATCATCTATTTTTGGTACTTTTAGATTGTTTGCCTTTTGATTGTTGATTAAATTGTAAAGTTTTCTTTTTTCTCTCCTAATCACAATTAACTTTTTGTACCATAAATTAGTTTGTGTCTTCTTTTTTTAATCGATTTAAAGGTTAACCAAATTATAATTGGAAAAAAGAGATTAAACTTAAAGGTAAATCCAGTTAATCCAATAATTATTGTTTACGATTGATTGTAATCATTTTCGTTGTTATAATTACAATTGATTCATCTAATTGGTTATTGATGTTGTTGTTGTTGTTGTTTACCTGATCAATTGATTTCTAATTTTTATAATCTATATTTTATAATCAACAATCAATCAATCAAAATTTCCTTGGGTCTTTCTTTAGGGTGGAAAAAGTATTTACCGTTTCGATATTATTATTTACTACTCTAATCTTATCCTTTTATTGTGGATTAACTGATCCCTTTAATTGTGATCAACTTTTTTTCAAAAAAAACTAAATTATCCTTAAACCCTACTGAGGATATGATTTAAATCTTGTCTAAGAATAATTTGTTTTTCCTCCTACACATAAAATCTCGACCAATTAACTAATTTACATGAGGAGTAGTTTACTTACGATTGTTTCTAATTAGTTAATCATCTCAATTCTGTTATATTAATGTTGATTTTTCTGTATTCATCTTTATCTAGAACTCTGTGGATCTCTATCACATTTATCGACAACTCTTAATTTAAATATCCCCGGAAGTAGTGAGAATCAATCTAATCGTCAAGCCATGAAATTTGGAAACCTTTTCTCAATTGCCATTGATGATTATCAGGTAATTATTAATATTCATCCTCATCAATTAATCTCATTTTGACTATTCAACCAGAGATTAATTTAGTCAATGAATATTAAGGATAAATATTCATCTCGTTAATGAAAATCATTTAAATTAGTTGACAAACTAAAATTAGCATAAATTATAAATTAATGATCATTTTGCTGTTGATTATCATCACTTATTAGTGGTGACAAATTGAAATGAATTACAATTTCTTTTACTTAATTAACTTGACATTGTACAAAATTTATAACAAAGCAACAATTAATTTTAATCATTCTTTTGATTGCTTATCATGGTCTTTTTTAAACAGAGAGGTCTGGAAGTTATCAATTTCAATGATGAAGCCACTCTAGGATCAAGCTTTGATTTATGGTCTCGTTATATTGAAACGAAAAGGAAATGCTTAATCGTCGAACTGGTTTAATGATTGAATACGAGAAATCAAATAGAAATCTAGATAAAGCAAAACCCCACAAACGAGATGAGGTAAGTCTTAATTTTATTATTTCCATAACACTTAAATCGTGTGGTTTACATCAATTTATTAATTCCCAACAATTTACTTGCAAATTTTGTTTGTACTCAACAAGAAAAGGTCACTTAATTACTTTTGCATTGAAAACGCTTGACCAAAACT